GGCAGATCACCTCAGGTCAGGAGTTCGAGACCAGCCTGGCCAACATGGTAAAATCCCATCTCTACTAAAAATACAAATATTAGCCAGGCGTGATGCCTTTAATCCCAATTACTCAGGAGGCTGAGGCAGAAGCATCCCTTGAACCCAGGAGGCAGAGGTTGCAGTGAGCCAAGATCACACCACTGCACTCCAGCTTGGGTAACAGAGCCAGACTCCATCTTAAAAAAATAAAGAAAAATTAATTTTTAAAAAACATAAAATGCTAGGCATAGCAAAGAAATCCCTTTGGAAGGCCAACTTCTAGTTTAAGACCACATTCTGTCATTGGTTGCACAGATATTTATTGAACAACCACTGCGTGTTGGACAGTGTTCTGGGTACAGAGGACACAAAACAAAACAGACACAGTGTCTGGCCTCAGGGAGCTGACACCCCAATTTATTTTTTATTGCCTTCCTAGGTGTTTGAAAGCTGCCTGCAGATAACAGGCGTCACTGCAGCCCTCAGACACCTTGCAAGGATGTCATCTCGATCCTGTTTGTGGCCCAGGCTGTTTACTGAGGACTTCCCGTGGGCCAGGGACTATGCTGACTCAGGAAGGCGACAGGGCCGGGTGCCAGGTGTGATCAGCCTAAGATTGCTCCGTGGGAGAAGATAAGTCCAGGGTGCAGGAAGCAGATACGAAGCCGCAGCTGAAAGCAAGGTCTGTGTAAGTCGGCAAACACGGCATTTCCGGAGACCTGAAACTGATTAGGAAGGAACCTGCGCTGAGCCTGGGCGTCTGCGGCTTCTGCTCTGTGGGTCCTCTGGGCTTCAGCAAGTCCCTGGGGGCCGGAAGTCTGGAATCCAGGTGTGCGCAGAGCTGTGCCCTGTCTGGAGTTTCCAGGGGAGGATCCTTCACACCTCTTCCAGCTTTTGGGGTGGCCAGCAGTCCTTGGTGTTGCTTGGCTTGTGGCTCCGTCACTCCAATCTCTGCCTCTGTCATCACCTGGCCTTGGCCCCTGTGTTTCTCTGTGTTTTGTTTTTTGTGTCTTTTTTTTGAGACAGAGCCTCGCTCTGTCGCCTAGGCTGGAGTGCAGTAGTGCGATCTTGGCTCACTGCAACCTCCGCCTCCCTGGTTCAAGGGATTCTCCTGCCTCAGCCTCCCAAGTAGCTGGGATTACAGGTGCACGCCACCACGGCTGCGTCGCTTTGTATTTTTAGTAGAGATGAGGTTTTACCATGTTGGCCAGGCTAGTCTCAAACTCCTGACCTCATGATTTGCCAGCCTCGGCCTCCCAAAATGCTTGGATTACAGGCGTGAGCCACCACACCTGACCGAAACTATGGTAGATTCTATGCAGTTGTAAGAATAATACAGAGAAAGGCCGGGCGCAGTGGCTCAAGCCTGTAATCCCAGCACTGTGGGAGGCCGAGGCGGGTGGATCACGAGGTCAAGAGATCGAGACCATCCTGGTCAACATGGTGAAACCCCGTCTCTA